GTGCCAGCCGGAAGCTAGCATGGCGCCTGCCGGGGCGGCTGCTACTGATCTAGGTGCGCTGGGCCTCGGGTGAGGGCTTCGTGTGCGGGTTTCGACTCGCGGATTGCGCGGGAGGAATGCTGGATTGGGGATGTGGTGGAGAGGTTCTGCGGGAGGGGTCGGGAGTCGCCTCGCAAGCATCCCTTCAGACTTGGGCCTTGGCCCCTCGCACCGGGATCCTGGGAAAGCGTGCTGAGAGCCACTGAGTCCGGGTTGCCTGGGCTCTTCCGCATCGGGCATGAGACCTGCACCCGAATCCTTTTCTGGCGCCTCAGTCGGTCCTCCTGTCCCCGCAGAGGTGGTCCGGGGGAAGCGCGCAGCCCTCTTCTTCGCCGCGGTGGCCATCCTACTGGGGCTGCCCCTCTGGTGGAAGACCACGGAGACCTACCGGGCCCCGTTGCCTTACTCCGAGATCAGTGGGCTGAATGCCCTGCAGGTGAGACCTCTGTCGGGGAGGGTCGGTGACAGCCCAGTGGCAAGGTGGAGACTCAGCTGACGGCCCCAATGCCCCTTTCTGCAGCTCCGACTTATGGTGCCGGTCACTGTCGTGTTTGCCCGGGAGTCAGTGCCCCTGGACGATCAGGAGAAGCTGCCTTTCACCGTTGTGCATGAGAGAGAGATCCCTCTGAAATGTGAGTTTCTGCTGGGATTCTGGGCCGCCTTTTGGGCGTGAGCTCAGTCCAGAAATGGGCTAGGTAGGAGGGTGTGTGTCTCATAAGGACTTTCAAAGGACTGTTGAAAGTCCTCTCTGAATGAACAGTATGTCTGATTAGAAAGAATCTAGTTTTAAATTCGATGTCTGTCATTAAGACAGCAACTTTATTCATAAAGTAAGTTATGATACCTCATCAGAAGCGGCTGATGCCCATCAGGGTATAGAGTAGGAAGTGAGATGTGAAAAGAACAGAGTTTGAAAACAAGTTGGATTTGTACACAGACCTTATTCAGTTTACCTTAAACAATTTACTGAGTATTAGGCACTGTTCTTAGGTACCAGGAATTTGGTAATGAATAATAAATTGATAATCATTTCAAGAAGTTTATAGAGAAGGAAGACAGGCAAAAGAAATTACAGTTAAAAATACATATATATATATATATAAAAGAGGGACTACACTTAAGAAAGAGCATTTAGTTGTCTGGAATAAAAGAATGGCAGAGAAAAATTTGAGGGATATAATTTTTTCTTTTCTTCTTCTTCTTCTTTTTTTTTTTTTTTGCTGGAGGGCATATGTATTCACCAGAGAGAGAAAGGGAGAGGAGAAAGCATTACCTAGTGGGGCATGGTCATGCTGCAATCTTTTCCTATATTTTCCCATCCTGTTGGGATTTGGGGCACACACACACATATGGCCAGTGTGTTTTTCAAGCCGTCAGGACTGGGGTTCAAACCTCTGTTGGCCATATAGAATCTGGCTCCCCTAACCACTAGACTATGGGGCCAGCCCAGCAATAACTCCTTTTTAATATTTTATTTTTTTAAATTATTTTTAATTGTTTTGCCATAGGGTTTATGTGCTTTCTGGAAAGAGACAGAGAAGGAACGTGAGAAATCACTCCCCCCTGGGGGGTTGGCCACACCTAAGTCCTTTCTCCTCCATCCTCCTCTTGGATTTTGGGCACACACATGCATACACCCAGCATGTTTCTCAAGCCACCAGGTCCAGGGCTCAGCTGTTCAGCTGGCCAGGTGGTATCTAGCACCTTAACTACCACACTACCTGCTGGTCTGCAATAATTTCTTAACATCCCTCCTTCTCAGTCTTTATTTAGATTTCCCTAATTCACTCAGAGGTGTCCTTTCACGGCTGGTTTTTTTCTAGTCAGTCAGACACATTGTGTTTGGTTGTCTCTTTTATTATATAGCAGTTCCCACCAGCCACCACCGTACATTTCTTTTTATACCATTGATTTGTTGGCGAAACCAGGTCATTTGTTTTATATATTAGAACATCTCAGCACCAGCAATTGGCGTTAATGGCTATGTCACTTGACTCTCATGTAGTTGACAGTGGTTCAAGCCCTGGACCCGGTGGCTTAAACTCACACTGGGTGTGTGTGCGTGTGTGCCCAAAATCCTGAGAGGAGAATGGAGGAGAAGGGATTGCACTGTGGCCATCCCACCGGGGGGTGATTTCTCACTTTCTGTCTCTCTGCCTCTCTCTTTCTGGCAAGCACACACGTCCTATAGCAAAAAACCTCTCCAAAAAAATAGAACATCTTGCATTTGAACTTTTGTGAAATCGTTTCCTTATAGTTTCACTTCACTTATTCCTCTAGTATCCATATTTCTTATAAACTGATAGTTAGATCTAGAGGTGTGGCTTAAGCCAAGTTCAATGGTTTAGGTAAGCATACTTTATAGGTGGCGCTGTGTACTTGTATGTTGAATTTTATGATTTGGGGGCATTGATTAGAATGACCATATGGTTTTTCTCCTTTCATCTGTTAATTGATTTCCCAGTGAGAAGATATTCAGGCTGAAGGACCAACCAGTGTGTACACAGGCAAAGGCAGAGGGTGGGACAGATGAGAGAAGTGGGGAGTCCTTTGTTTGATGCCATCCATGTAGAAATCGTTACAGCTGGCTGTAGCTGCTTGCTATTTCTCTGCAGACAGCCATCTTGCTGTCCTCAGCCACTGGACAGTGTCAGGGCCAGGAGGGTGGGCAGAGAGCTAATGTTCCCTCCCTCTGCTCATCGTGCTGCCCTTTTCCTTCCCAGACAAGATGAAAATCAAATGCCGTTTCCATAAGGCCTATCGGAGGGCTTTGGACCATGAGGAGGAGGCCCTGTCATTGGGCAGCGTGCAAGGTACGGGAAGGAGCAATCACCCCATTTTAGTAAGAAGCCCACTTTTTCTTCTTTTCTCTAAGGGTATGGTTCCCATCCTTTGTTTTATCTCCATTTCCTCTGGGAAAGCTGGGAATGAGGTACCTTGGGTTTCAGCCTGGGCCACTGAGGGCCAGAGAGGTGGGTGCTGGTTGAGTGTGAGTGAAGGGGTGGCTTAGGCACTCTGTGGGGGACAGGGGGAGATGGAATGGTATGTTTTGCTCCTGCTGTACCTCCTGTTCTTGTCCCCAGAGGCAGAAGCCATGTTAGCTGAGCCCCAGGAGCAAGCGGAGGGCTCCCTGACTGTGTACGTGATTTCTGAACACTCCTCACTTCTTCCGCAGGTAGGGTAAGCAGAGAGGCTGCGGCCAAACCTCCTCCCTCCGCCAGTCGGTGTGCAGCATTGCTGCCCACTTCGTCCATATGCTACAGAAAACTCTGCAGATCCTTTAGGAAATACTGTCAATGAGGATTTATTCACTAACTTGTAGGTCTTTCTAAATCCAGGACTTGGTTGTGGTTAAAGTGCCAATGACCATTTAAAGTAGAAAAAGGACAGTAGGATTAAAAAGAAGCTAGTTTGAGTGGATGTTGATGGTCATGCAGGTGATACCTTGACCTTCTCACGTTATGAGCAGAAGACTAGGTAGGAACTATTTTCTTTTTAAATTTATAATGAAATATTTAAATCTTATGAAAAGATGAAAGAAAATTTAAGAAATGATATGAAATGCTAATGAATGTCTATGTACCCATCCCCGGCTTGCAAACCCCAGTGTAGTGATGCGTTGGAGCCCCGTGCATCTGCATGGCAGTACTCCACTCCCAAAATGACCATATTGGATACGTACCATTTTCTTTCTCTCTTTTTTTTTTTTTTTGGAGAGGTTTTTTGTTTGTTTGTTTGTTTTTGTTTTTGTTTTTGTTTTTTGCTATAGGGCACGTGCGCTCACCAGACAGAGAGAGGCAGAGAGACAGAAAGCGAGAAATCACCCCCCAGGGGGAATGGCCACACCACAATCCCTTCTCCTCCATTCTCCTCTTGGGATCTTGGGCACGCATGCACACGCACCTGGTGTGAGTTTAAGTCACCGGGTCCAGGAAGTGAACCGCGGTTGACTACATGGGAGTCCAGCGACATAGCCATTACGCTAACTGCTGGTCCCAATACGTACCATTTTTTTTACTAGTTGGATTACATGTTGTATCTCTATAAATAATATATTTAATTTTACATATTTTTTTAAAGAATTATTGTTTTACTTAACTTTATTTATCCATTTATTCATTTTAATTTTACCAGAGAGGGACAGAGTGAGAGAAAGAAAGAAGGAAAGTGAGAAAGCAAGCTGCCAGGACCAGGACTCGAACCACAGTTGGCCATGTGGGAGTCCAGTGCCTTAACCACCATGCCACCTGCTGACCCCTACTTTTACATATTTTTGAACTTATATAAATGGGATAGTACCACCCCCGGGGCCTGGTGTTTAAAGCAATAGGATCCCACATGGCTGACCATGCAATTTGAGTCCCAGCCTGGGTGACTTCAAAAACACATGGCGTGGGGCCTGCAGGTGGTGTGGTAGTTAAATGCACTAGACTCCCATATGACTGACAATGGTTCGAGTCCTGGACCTGGTAGCTTGCTTTCTCACTTTTTCTTTCTTTCTTTCTCTGTCTTTTCAGAAAGAGACAGAGAGACAGAAAGTGAGAAATCACCCCCAGGGGGGATGACCATGCCGCAATCCCTTTTCCTCCATTCTCCTCTCAGGATCTTGGGCATGCACACACACGCGCCCAGCATGAGTTTAAGCCACCAGGTCCAGGGCTCGAACTGTGGTTGACTACATGGGAGTCCAGCGACATAGTCATTACGCTAACTGCTGGTTCCTTTATTTTTATTTTTTAAAATAATTATTTATTTTTAACTTTATTCATTTATTTTAATTTGACGAGAGAGAGAGAGAGAAAGTGGGAAATCAAGCCACCAGGTACGGGATTTGAACCGTGGTCAGCCATGTGAGAGTGTCCAGAACCTTAACCACCATGCCACCTGCTGATCCCTATTCCACTTTTCTTCTCTGCATGCCATCTTAGCTTTTAGTTATTTTTGTTTTTTATTTTATTTTTATTATTTAATTTCCTGTAGGGCATATGTGGTCTCTAGAAAGAGAAAACAAGCTGCCAGATCTGAGACTTGAACCGTGGCCAGCCACATAGGAGTCTGGAGCCTTAACCACCAGGCCAACTGCTGGCTTCTCTATTTCATTCTTTTACCAGCCCTTAAAGATTGATTGACTTTTGGGACCAACAGGTGGTGTGGTGGTTAAGGTGCTGGACACTCCCACGTGACTGACCATGGTTTGAGTCCTGGACCTGGAGGCTTGCTTTCTCACTTTCTCTTTCTCTCTCTTTCTCTCTCTCTGTGTGTCCTTCTCTGGTCAAGTTAAAATAAGTGAATGAATAAATAAAATTAAATAATTAAAAAAGACTACTTCTTAAAAAAAAGATTGACGTTTTTTTTTTAAAAAAGAATTATTTTATTTAACTTTATTTATTTATTTTTATTTGACCAGAGAGGGACAGCGTGAGAGAGGGGGGTGGGAAAGGAAAGCGAGAAAGGCAAGCCACCAGGTCTGGGACTTGAAACGTGGTTGGCCGTGTGGGAGTCCAGTGCCCTTAACCATCGTGCCACCTGCTGGTCCCAATTGATTGACTTTTCTTTTCTTTCTTTTTTTTTTTTTTTTTTGGGGGTTTTTTTTTAAGGG